AATTATCAGACATAACATGAAGTACATACCTAAGCTGTTATTTAGGTAGGTCTCTGACAGCTTTCAACTATTATAGTGAACAGAGGTATTCCCGTACACAGCACAGATTATTACTGCAACACACTTCCATGTGCACCAGTACACATCACTATGCTGTGTGGATTTTACCAAGGAGTATTTTAATGCAAACCTGCACTAAAGGAGAATAATAACCCATGTGCAATGTTGAAAAAAAAGGTGTCTTGTTGCTTTCTCACACGTTACACAAAATTCATAATTCAGCTCTTGTCGGTTAACATACAGTAGATGGCCTGCACAAACATGGACTGCAGTCTCACTAACCTAAAATATCAAGCACAGGGCAGTCAACAAGGAAAGAAGAAGTGCATGCATAATAAATGGATCAAAAGGAAATTCTATCAAAATGTACTGTATGTAAATTGAAGTTATGTAAGAATAAAATGTACAACATTTGTTTAAATGAAATGCTTCAGCACATGTGAGGAGAGCATTAATTATGTGGCACAGTTTGATAGAAACCCTAACCATGAATAAACTAAAGGACTTTTAAGGTATTATGCATTGCAATTTCTTACTAAAATCATTTATTTTTAAAGTGATGTGAAAAAGTATTTGCCCCCTTCCTAATTTTTCATTTTTTTTTGCATATTTGTCACACTTAAATGATTCAGATCATCAAAAAATTGTAATATTACAAAAAGATAACCCGAGTAAATACAAAATGCAGTTTTTAAATGATCATTTCATTTGTTAAGGGAAAGAAGCTATCCAAACCTGCCTGGCCCTATGTGAAAAACTAATTGCCCCTTAAACCTAATAACTGGCTGTGCCATTCTTGGTGGCAACAACAGCAATCAAGCATTTGCAATAACTGACAATGAGTCTTTCACATTGCTGTGGAGGAATTTTGGCCCACTCTTCTTTGCAGAATTGTTTTAATTCAGCCACACTGGAGGGTTTTTGAGCATGAACGTCCTGTTGAAGGTCATGCCACAGCATCTCAATCAGATTTAAATCAATACTTTGACTAGGCCATTTTAAAACCTTAATTTTATTTATTTTTTTAGCCATTCAGAGGTAGACTTTGCTGGTGTGTTTCAGATCATTGTCCTGCTGCAAAACCCAAGAGCACTTGAGCTTGAGGTCACGAGCTGATGGCTGGACATTCTCCTTCAGGATTTCCTAGAAGAGTGCAGAATTTATGGTTCCATAAATTATGGCAAGTCGTCCAGGTCCTGACGCTGCAAAGCAGCCCCAGACCAGCACGCTACCACAACCATGTTTGACTGTTGGTATGATGTTCTATTTATGAAATGCTGTGTTAGTTTTACACCAGGTGTAATGGGACACACGTCTTTCCAAAAAGTTCAACGTTTATCTCATCAGTCCACAGAATACTTCCCCAAAAGTCTTGGGGATAATCAAAAAGTTTTTTGGCAAATGTGAGATTAGTCTTTGTGTTCTTTTTGGTCAGCAGTGGCTTTCACCTTGGAACTCTCCAATGGATTACATTTTTGCCCAGACTCTTCCTTATTGTTAAATCATGAACACTGAGGCAAGTGAGCAGTTCTTTAGATATTGTTCTGGGTTCTTTTATGACCTCCTGGATGGGTCATCATTGTGGTCTTGGAATAATTTTGGTAGGCTAACCACTCCTGGGAAGGTTCACCACTGTTCCAAGTTTTCTTCACTTGTGCATAATGGCTCTCACTGTTATTCACTGGAGTCCCAAAGCCTTATAAATAGCTTTGTAACTCTTTCCAGACTGATACATGTTAATTAGGTTGTTTCTCATCTGTTCTTGAAGTTCCTTAGATCACGACATGATGTGTTATTTTTTTAGATCTTTTAGCATGCTTTGCATTGTCAGGCAGCTTCTATTTAAGTGATTTCTTGATTCAACAGGTCTGGCAGTAATCAGGCCTGGGTGTGGCAAGTGAAATTTAACTCAGATTTCCAAAAAATGTGGTTAATCACTGTTCATTCATGATTTAGCAAGGGGGTGGGGGCATGCAAATACTTTTTAACATAGGGCCAGGCAGGTCTGGACAACTTTTTTCCCTTAATAAATTAAATCCTCATTTAAAAACTGCATTTTGTATTTACTCTGGTTATCATACTGGCAGGAAAAAAGCAGCTTAAAAAAAGCAGTATTGCACACTTGCTTAGGTGCGTGGAGCATTTGAGCGTTAATGGATTCCATAGGCGAGAATATTAATACATTCTGGCCATTGGAACGCATTAACGCAAAAGCACTATAGTTTAGACATTTTTTATGCTCTTCAACTCCTTTCCTGTATGTGCCTTTGGTGTTTTTTCTTTCAACCTTTCTTTTCCAGCTCCTCTTCTAATAGGCCTGTAAATGCCTATTGTGCATGGACCTATAAGCTAACATAGAGGTGCTTTTACAGACTAAAAAAAAACACTGAATGCCTATAAGCCTAAGTTCACACTTACACGCAGTCTGCTGGCTGGTTGGAGGTTCAGGAATCGCGGTTGTTTTCTCACCTGCAGCCAAATTGCTCTTACGAGATGCGCAGAGCTGCCATTCATTTTGAATGGCACCACCAAGCATCTCAACCTGCAGTTCGTTTCTGGTACGGGAACAGCAGGGAAATCACATGGTCAAAAAGACTATGTGGTTTCCCTGTGGCTGCATTTTTCAAAAAGGTGCATGCACTTTATTTCTGTAGGAAATGCGGGCACAGCAGCCCATTCATATGAATGGGCTACCGTGCCTGACCCAACATGTGCCGCACAGCCGCAATAGTGTGAATCGAGCCTAAAAGTGCTGTTTTTTAAGCCCAGTATGCAGAATAACGAAATGTGAAGATTGCAAAACAGAATGCAGCTATCTGATTTTCAATGCATGAAATAAGCAAACTGCTGGACATGGTTTTCTCAGATCTAGTGTATCCTATCTATTATATTGTTTCCTTTCACAACTGCTGCTCTAAATAAAACTACAGGGGTTAGACAAAAAAATGGAAACACTACATGATTTGCAGGTGTGAAAGTAACAACATGTGTTGCATTGAAAGCAGAAGTGGTGTAACATTCTTTTGCTTCTGCTGTGTGATGAGACACCTAGACGACAGGTGGGAAGCCTCACTTTCATCATTCACTGCATGCGCTGCTAGTAATATAGAGTCATATCAGAGCTTACTGAGCTTCAAAGAGGGCAAATTTTTTGGTGCCCGCTTAGCTGGTGCCTCTGTGACTGGTTACCAATTTATTTGCTGTGTTGTGAATAAAGTTTCCAGGAAAACGTCATGTGATAAGCTAAGCACGGTCGACATGCTCAACTGACCAAAAGAGTAATTCATTACATGCACTGCTAGTAATGTGGTGTCATGTCAGAGCTTACTGAACTAAGGTTATCAAAGGTTATGATGGCATATACAGTTTCCGGGAAAACATCTGCTGAATGATGAAAACATCATAAGTGCGGGTCGACATGGTCAACTGACCGACAGAGTCATTCACTACAAGGACTGCTAGTAATATGGTGTCATGTCAGAGCTTACTGAACTTCAAAGAGGGCAAGTTGTTGGTGCCCGCTTACTTGATGCCTCTGTGACTGTTTATTGCTGTGACGCGAGGTACAGTAACAAAGGTTATGATGGCATTTACAGTTTCCTGGAAAATATCTGCTGAATGATGAAAACATCATAAGCGCGATCGACTTGGTCAACTGACCAAAAGAGGCAAAAGGACATTGAGCAGGATTGTGACTCAGAATTGGAAAACAACAGCTGCAAAAGTGACAGCAGAGATCAATCTTAGTCCTGTGAAGACTGTGTCCTGTGAAGACTGAGATGAAGCTCTGCAGTCACTTTTGCAGTAGTTGTTTTATTATTCCAAGTCACAATCCTGTGCAATGCCCTTTTGTCTCTTTTGGTCAGTTGACCATGTTGACCGCACTTATGCTGATCAGCAGTGGTGTATTTAGTTTAGTGCTGCCCTAGGCAACACAAAAAGCCCCCCCCCCTTCCTTCCCCACAGAGAGAGCCTGACATTGGCGAACAACACCCCTGTCCCCCCAAGAGAGGCTTCCAATACCACCTCCCCCCATACAGCAGCAAACCACCCCCACTCCGGCGCTAGAGAGAAAGACACTCACTTTTGCAACTCTGGACATCCCTGGGAACAAGAGTCAGGCTCTGCATACAAAGTCAAGCAGCCCGCAGGCTCTCTTGTATCCCACCTGCTCCCCATGCCGCATGTGTCCCTTCTTCTGGGTGGCAGTGTTCCCTCCCCCCTCCCCTGAAGAATGCTGCCCTAGGCAAATGCCTTGTTTGCCTTGTGGTAAATACACCCCTGCTTATCAGATGTTTTCCCGGAAACTGTATATGCCGTCATAACCTTTGATACTGTACCACGTGTCACAGCAAATAAACTGGCAACTTCATTCACAGAGGCACCAGCTATGCAGACACCAACAACTTGCCCTCTGTGAAGCTTAGTAAGCTCTGACATGACTCCTCATTACTAGCAGTGCATGCAGTGAATGACGAAACCGAGGCTTCCCACCTGTTAGCTAGGTGTCTCATCACACAGCGGAAGCAAAACAATGTTATATCACTTTCAATGCGACACGTTGTCACTTTTAGGCTCCATGTACACGGGACACTTCTGAATCATGGAAATTGACTGCTGGAAAACGTAGGTTAAAAAAAGTCTGGCCGCGTTTGCATACCGTGTTTATGCGCGTTTATGAGCATTTGTATTTAGAAGCGTTTTGTAAAGATAACCTCAGGAGACCTTCCAAAATGCCCAGAATGCACTGAAAAAACAGCAAAAAATTAACTATTTCAGACATTTTGAGAGAAATAGAGAGAGCAGAAGCAGAGAGATCAGTATTTATTGAGCTTAGCTGTCTTTTTTTTTTGTGGTGTTTGGATATGTTCCAACTCATTTCTGTGCAGAAATTATTGCAGCAGTATCTAACATATTTTCTGTCATGCAAAACCTCAAAGTATGGTTTACCAGGTCCATTTGAGTACTGGGAAAACGCTTTGCATGCATTTTTCATGATGAAAAAAGGCTCTGGACAGCATCTGGAAATGGAAGAGTTAAAAAAATGCATTTAAACGCGGCAAATCGCGTTTATAAGCGTTTGTATCTGAAATTTTTTTTAACTCTTCCAGTTCCCAAAACTGTCCAGAGCCACTTTTCATCATGAAAAATGCATGCAAAGTGTTTTCATTGTACTCAGATGAACAAAACACTGAACACAAGATATTCCTATGAACCTTGTCACACATTGTTATGACCAATTTATACCTCAGACCTCTCCCACCCTTGGAAACAAAAGATATGTTAATAATTATTATTATATTCAGGATTTATATAGCGCCAACAGTTTGTGCAGCACTTTATAATATAAGGGAGACAGTACAATTACAATACATTTCAGTACAGAAGGAATAGGAGGGCCCTGCTCATGGAGCTTACAATCTAAAGGAAGGGGGAGGTGAAACAAAGGTGATAGCTGCGAGGGATGATCTTGTGGAGGTGATTCAAGTACAGTTCTTAGGTGGAGGTGGGGTAGGCTTCCCTGAATAAGTGAGTTTTCAAAGTCAGACAGGGTGGGGGCTGACCAGACATGCTGTGGTAGGGAGTTCCAGAAGATGGAAGAGGCTCTGGAGAAGTCCTGGAGGCGAGTGTAGGAGGAGGTGACGAGGGAGCTAGAGAGGAAGATATCTTGGGAGGAGCAGAGTGGGCGATTTGGGCGGTATCTGTGGATGAGGTTGGTGATGTAGCTAGGAGCAGTGCTGTGGATGGCTTTGTAAGTTGTGGATGGCTTTGTTAATGACCATTCACACCTCAAATTCCTCATGAACACCCCTTGCCAGGTGACCTTAATGACTCCCTCCACCAGACACCTTCCCACCCTTGGAAACAAAAGAAATGTTAATGAGCAACTCACACCTAATTATCTCAACACATACTGCTGTCTCTGCTTCTACTCTCTGTATTTCACTGAAACAGTCTGAAATATTTAATAATTGAGCACTTTTCAGTGCATTCTGGGCATTTGGGAGGTTCTCCTATGCTTATCTTTAAAAAAAGCTTCTAAACGCAAACACGCATAAACGTATGTAAACGCGACTAAACAGACTTTTTTAACCTACATTTTCCAGCAGTCAGTTTCCATCGTTCAGAAGTGTCCCGTGTACATGGAGCCTAACCTGCAAAACATGTATTATTTACATATTTTTACCTAACCCCTGTATATTACTGGAACCAGGGGCGGACTGACCATTTGGAAACTCGGGCACTGCCCGAGGGCCCGGGGTCAGTAGGGGGCCCCATGAGATGCCCCTGGTACCTTTTTCATAGGCTTTTTTGAGTTTGGGCAAGGACACAGGGGCCCCATGATCCCCTATTGCCCGGGGCCCAATGAGTTGTCAGTCCGCCCCTGACTGGAACACATAAGAACGAGCTGGATCATTAATCACACCGAAAATCTTTATCCTTGTAGCAGTAACATTGTTTGCATTGATTCCGCCTGTCCGCCGGGTGGCGCTGTGAGCGGGTTCCCGCCTTCCCTTGTACAAATAATCCTTTATATAGAGTCGCGGAGAAGGAAGTGTGGGACTGCTGAGAAGATGGCTGAAGAGCGGAGTTGGAGGCCGGAGAGAGGGGAGCAGAATCTGCAGGTACAGTAGTTGTGGCGTCTGTTTATATGTGTGTTAGCAGTGTGCATAATTGGAATGGCCGGGAGAGTCCGAGGTGTGTGAGACGTGTGCTGTCCTCCCAGTAGAGGAAGAAGCATGGCGCCCACGTGGTGGCAGTGCGCGGAGATCACACACCCTGCCCACCCTGCGACATAATCAATGTTTAATGCAATTCAAAGCTGATCACTGGGGCAGTGTAGGTTTTCCAGCCGAAACAAAATGAGAATTCCTTATGAATGACTGGACTCGTGATTTGTGTAGTCACCCCTACCGTTCACTGTAAGCCCCCTCACTCTAGAGGCCCTTTCTGATATCCTCTAGAAGCCCCCCTTTATGATGTACATAGCTTGGGCACATCAGAGGCAGTTAAACATGATTTTACATGGACAACCACATGCAAAAAAAAGTGTTGCACTAAGTCTGGTTTAAATTGTTGTGGCATTGTCAGGGGTGTGTGGGGAAAAAAAAACCGTTATTGAGATCTCACATGTGACTTGAGTCCCACAGAATCGCATGACAATGGAAAGCCCTTTGTTTTCAATGGTGCCAGTTAACAGCAATGCAACTTTGCACTGTACGTGTTGGAAAAAGTTCTTGTACTACATTCGCTGTGACTTCCAGCATGACTTTGTTCCCATAAAATATTATTATAGGATTTATATAGCGCCAACAGTTTGCTCAGTGCTTTTCACTATAATGGGAGACAATACAGTTCAATACAAGAGGGTTAGGAGGGCCCTGCTCCTTGGAGCTTACAATCTAAGGCTCTGTGTACACTGCAGCTGCTAAACCAGTGTTTCTCAACTCCAGTCCTCATGGACCCCCAACAGGTCATGTTTTCAGGATTTCCATTATTATTGCACAGGTGATTTGATCAGTTTCACTGCCTTAGTAATTACCACAGCTGTTTCATCTGAGGGAAATCCTGAAAACATGACCTGTTGGGGGTCCATGAGGACTGGAGTTGAGAAACACTGTGCTAAACTGACGTTCAGGAGCTGTTCATGGGTGTGTTTTTTTTTTTTTTTTTTTTTTTTTTTTTTTTTTTTTTTTTTTTTCTCCAGCAGCCCCTGAACTCTCCCTAATGTTTTCCTATGTGTTCATGTACACATCCTTGTTTACAGGCAGTTGAGTTTTTAGTTGTTTTTTTGAATGCACCAAACTTGCGTTCAGGATTAGATTTTACTGTTTCAAATGCTTGTAACCATGGTTAGAAGCAGTTTTTTTAACTTTTCCATGTCCAGAGCCTTTTTTTTTTATCATTGAAAATGCATGCAATGCATTTTCTATGTATTCAAATGGACCTACTACACCAGCAGTCAGTTCCAGGATTTGCGTGAAGGAAAATATGGTAGAACATGCTGCATTATGCTCATGATGGGGTCCATAGTGAATACAACCAGAAAAGAAAGGTCATCTCAACACATACTGCTCTCTGCTTCTGCTCTGTTTCTCTCAAAATATCTGAAATAGTTAATTTACTATTTTTCAGTGCATTTGGGAGGGTCTTCTGAGGTTATCCTTAAAAAAAAAAAAAAAAAAAAAAAAAAAAAAAAAAGCTTCTGAACATGCATAAACGTATGAAAATGTGGCTAAACAGATGTTGTTTTAACCTACATTTTCCAGCAGTCAGTTTCTATCGTTCAGAAGAGTTTTCCAAACGCCCTGTGTACATGAGCCCTAAAAATATACAAATCTGATCAGTTGCTTCCAAGTAGTGCTACATAATCAGACTGAAAATTGGATGGCAGCAGAGTGAAAGAATAATCTGTTCACCAAGTGTACAAAATGACACATGGATGCTTCTCACAAAGCTGTTAACATCTGTGCTCTTTGTCTGATGACTGTTATCAGTTAAATTGCCTCCACCTAGAGACTAAAAAAAATGTCAGGTAAGGAGCAAAAGATGTTACTCTTAGGTCTAGCAAGGAAATTGTTCCTTGCGGTTTTTTTTAATCTGCACTCCAGGTAGAGCTTTTTACCACTTGGAATTGTGTTTTAAGCCAACCTTAAAAGTAGAACTAAAGGCAAAACTGTGTATGTATATAATGGAGGGGGAGTGGAACTCCTGTTAGAGATTCACCCTCTGTGTCCTGTTATTGAAAGTAGAGAGTACCACATTTTGGTCATCACCAGAAAAGTAATAGAGGGGAAATCTTCCAATGGGGATACTGGTTCTGGTGACCTGGAGGTACTGAGGGATTGCCTTAATTTGCAAGGATTTCCTTTCACTTCCTTTTTGACTATGGGATAGGAAGTGAAGGGACATCTGTAAAATGAGACATGGATGGTGAGAAGGAGCAAAAAAAAAAAAAAAACCTCCTTTACTCTATCCATGGGGGGGGGGGGGGGGGGGGGGGGGGGTTGCCTATAGCTCCACTTTAAAGTGGTTATAAAGGTTCAAGGTTTTTTTTTACCTTCATCTATTTGTATGAAGGTAAACCTTGTGTGTAGCAGCCCCCCTAATACTTTGAACCCCTCTCAGTCATGCGATGTGCATCGGTTGCACTGGGTCTTTCCCTCCTCCTTTGCTTTGGCAGGAGCCATTGGCTTCCAGTACTGTCAATCACAGCCAGTGAGCCAATGAGGAGAGAGCTGGGGTGTGGTGCAGAGCCTGGCTCTGTGTGAATGGTCACACGGAGCAGCAACTTGGGAGTGAGAATGCTTGGGTGCTCCCATAGCAAGCAGCTTGCTCTGGGGGCACTCTGCAGGAGGGAGGGACCAGGAGCACCTGCAATGGACCCAAAGAGGAGAGTTGGGGCTGCTCTGTGCAAAACCACTGCACGGAGCAGGTAAGTATGACTGGTTTGTGTGTGGTGGTCCTAAAAACAAACATTTGATTGTAATATCACTTTAATTCTGAGTTTGGTTGCTTGTGACACTTAGGGCATCATTCGTGTATCATGTAATGCAATAAATGTTCTGTATAGTAAGGGATTGTTGTGTATATAAAAGCTTGGTATTCATGATGAGTTTGCATAGTCCGTGTTTCACCTGAGTTCTGTGATTACACTTCATGCTCTGAGTAATACCTAGCTTCTTGCTGTGTAAGACTGAGTCTGAATAACATCTAACTTGTTTAAATTTTCTTTTGCAGCTTTTATTATTGGTGAATGGATTTGCAGGTAAAGATCCCTTTTTTATACTGTTTGCAGTAATAGACAACCAAAGAGGGCTTCCACTTTCAGGCAGAAAATGTAAGACCTATTCACATGTCATTAAGAGGCATCTTCCCTTTGTTAGTGAGTGGCTGCTGTAGCTGATGGTAGGGAGTGTAAACGATGGGGGGGGGGGGGGGGGGTGAAATGGAATCCAGCATGGGCCTAGTAACTTAAGGACATTGTTGAGCTGCTCACTGATAACAAGGAAGCCACAACTAGGCAAGGAGTATATATATTTGGATATCCTCCTGCGTTTATATGGGTAGACCTAACTGCTAGCTGCTAACACTCCCCTTATACCAAGAAGTGTGAATCAATATACAAAATTAGTGAAGCGCTACTAAAACTAAACAATTCTGAAATGCAATATGCTAGTAGCAATAACAATGTAAAGGTGATAAACACACTGTGCTCTGATCTCCCAAGGATCAATAAAGTGCAAATGTAGTGATAACCACAATGAATGTTTGTGGGAATCCTCTGTGATAAAACAGAAAATATTCCCAAAATATTATTATATTAATGACCCCCTTTACTACCGATACACTGACAATATATGGTAGTTAACCAAAAACGTGATCCCTTACAATAAGGGAAAAGATACACATGTAAAAAGTGCAAAAATAAAGTGCCTGAATGACACAACATATGCAAATGCCTGAGAATCCCAAAAAATAGTCCAAAAGATATATGTATATCTGTGATCTTTAAACATCAAATCAATCATGCAGGTGATTAAGTGCTCTGGTGATCTTCAAGTGTCAAAAAATCCTAAAACAGCCGCAATGCCTGATGACCTCCATACATTGACCCTATGGGCCAACACGCTTTTAGGATCACCTTAAACTGGATCCTTAAGGTTACTTCCTCCCAACCAGGGACAATCATATATTTCATATGCTCCTCTGTTCAGCAACTCGTACTCTTTGGATGGTACTGCAATATTGCTTATATTCCATCTCCACTCCGGATCGTATTAGTGAAAACACAATATCCTCCATAGTGCAATATGTTTTTAATAGGTAAAGTAATTAGCCAGTATTACACTCACATATACTCCAACCACAGATCGCTTATCACCACATCCTATGGGTGTACTGCATGGGCTGGGTGTAGCAATATGGCCTCCACTCCCGGGAGTCACCACGTAACCGGAAATGACGTACCAACGCGTTGCGTCAAGTGCCTCGTGACTTCATCAGGGTAAGCCTGAAGTCACGAGGCACGTGACGCAACGCGTTGGTACATCATTTCCGGTTACGTGGTGACTCCCGGGAGTGGAGGCCATATTGCTACACCCAGCCCATGCAGTACACCCATAGGATGTGGTGATAAGCGATCTGTGGTTTGGAGTATATGTGAGTGTAATACTGGCTAATTACTTTACCTATTAAAAACATATTGCACTATGGAGGATATTGTGTTTCACTAATATAATCCGAAGTGGAGGTGGAATATAAGCGATATTGCAGTACCATCCAAGGAGTATGAGTTGCTGAACAGAGGAGCATATGAGATATCTGATTGTCCCTGGTTGGAGGAGGTAACCTTAAGGATCAGGTTTAAGGTGATCCTAAAAGCCTGTTGGCCCATAGGGTCAATGTGTGGAGGTGAGCAGGCATTGCTGCTGTTAGGATTTTTTTTTTTTTTTTTTTTGACACTTGAGTGAAGATCACCAGAGCACTTAATCACCTGCATGATTAATTTGATGTTTAAAGATCAGATACATATCTTTTGGACTATTTTTTGGGATTAGCAGGCATTTGCATATTTTTTTTTATATGTATTGTCATTCGGGGACTTTATTTTTGCACTTTTTCCACACGTGTATCTTTTCCCTTTTTATTGTAAGGGATCACGTTTTTGGTTAACTACCATATATTGCTCGTGTATAGGTAGAAAAGGGGGTCATTTAATATAAATTTTTTTTTGGCTTATTTTCTGTTTTTATTACGGATTCTCACAAACGTTTATTGTGGTTATCACTACATTTGCACTTTATTGATCCTTGGAGATCAGAGCACAGTGTGTTTGTCACCTTTTTATAATAATAATAATTTTATTATTACTAGCATATTGCAATTGTTTTAGTAGCGCTTCACTAATTTTATATATAGGCAAGGAGTATGGCACAGGTACTCTTCGTTCCTCCTCTTCATCGTTCCTCCTCCTCATCGTCCTTTATTTCTAAGCGACATCTGTTCCTCTCTTAGCCCTAAGACATGGGCTGTGAGATTTTAGGTTGTCGTAGATCAATAATTACCTTTTTCACTCAGGGGTGTGTAATGGTGGGTTGGCTACCTCTCAGCACTTCCTGATTTTTGCGGGGTAAGACAGTTTCATACCATAAGCGGTTCCATTGGTGACAAGTTAAGAGGGAGGCACTGGTATTTTCATCTTGTTGACATAATTGGGTCTCTATAGGGCAGCCCAGATCACTTCCTGAGTAATCAAATGAGTAAGAATGGAGAGGAAAATTCTGATATGCCTGATGTACTAGGAAATGTTAGCAAGGCCAGGCTGCACGCCAGTAGCCAATAACCACTCACTGAGACAAACTGGGACTTGATTCTTCTGTTTCTCCCTCTGCTGTATAACGTGTCACTGGGGGGTTTTTTTTTACTAAAACTGGAGAGTGCAAAATCTGGTGCAGCTGTGCATAGTAGCCAATTGGCTTCTAACTTCAGCGTGTTCAGTCCAGCTTTGACAAAACTGGAAGATAATTTGTTTCTGTGAAGAACTGCACCAGATTTTGCACTCCAGTTTTAGTAAATGAATCCCAGTATATCAATATGAATCCTGATGCTCAGAACTGAAAGCTGATCCCTTTTTTTTTTTTTTTTTTTTTAACATTTGCACCGCATATATGTAAATAGCCTGCATTGGAAATAATGATTTTGGAGACTACAAGTGCATCTATGCTTTTTGGATTGCATCTGATCTGCATAGAATTTGCATCAGTGTGAAATGGCACTCTAACTTTAAATGCTGTTGCTTTTGATAAGGTTTTGCAGAAGCTCTAGATCAGGGGTGGGCAAACTTTTTGACTCGAGGGCCGCAATGGGTTCATATATTGGACCCGGGGCCGGACCAAGAGTAGATGAATTATGTGTATGTGTCATCCATAGTAAGTATAGTAATATTCCCCCATAGTAGTAAGCATAGTAATTCATCCCCCATATAGTAATTCATCCCCAA